ATAAAAAATTTATATTTTTAAATAAAAAATAAAATATTTATCATTATCTGAACATTTTCCCTTGGTTTAATGGTCATCAACTTATCATGCTAACTTTGTGGCCTAAGTTTACTGTTTCCCCTTTTTCAGCCCAGATGGAGCCTTTCGAAGTTAGCCAATTTAGCTAGTGGCCCAGTTCGATTTTAGTCAGAGTATAAACTTGAAATTTTGAAAATGCCTTTCTCCCCCCCGAGGGTTAGAATTGGGCATGCATATATTCGTTATTTATAAGTATTTTATTTATTTGTATAAATATCTTATTTAAATTGTAAAAAAATTAGGTAAGTAATGACTATGAAAATAATATATTTGAAAGTATCTAGTCAAGTAACAAGTATAAGGATTTAAAACTGTTTACCTGACTTATTTAATCGATTTATTTAACTAATATGTTACTTGTATTTATGTAATCAAAATTTTATATATACTTATCATATTTAATATCTATATAATAATAATTTTTAAAAATAAAAATAATAAAATACAAAAATAAAAATCATATATACAACCAATAAATAACAAATCTTAAACCAAACGTATATCACACAGACAGCCAACAACTTTTTCCTTTCCTTGTACTCTTAGGTAATCATGGATACTTATAACTTCAAAGTTTTATTCTTTTAGTTTTATTTTTACTTTTTTATTAGTGATTTTTGAATAATAATCTTTGTTTATGTTAGAATTTAAATATTTTAATAAAAAATAAAATAATATATTTTATAAATTGAATTTATTGTTCCATTAAGAACTTGGTCGAATTAGCCATTGTGAATTAATTGTCATATTTAAGTGCATATTATTACATAATAATTACTCAATTTATTCATATTATTAATCTACAAATGGGAGTTATATGATCATGAGCTCTATAAATAGAACATGTCATTTTGCTCTACAATGGGAAAGTTCCTCCACATTTTTCTATTTTTCTTATCTTACTTTGTGTTCTAATATTCTTGGGCAAAAAGAGTGTTTAGAATTAGGTGATTCTATGAGTAGTGCAAATTTATAGACTATTATTATAAAATTATAGCATCCTAGGGGCGGCATGTTATATATAACTTTGTTGCACTGGTCGATTTACTCTCTGCAAAAGCGTGAATTGCCTTAAAATAAATAAGTTTTTCACACCTCTTTTGGTGATATTTTATTTTTGATATTTTCTGATAAGGTCACTACTTATTATTTTGTTTGATCTTATGACCAAGACACAATAATGACATGATGGGGAGATGGAGGAGAGTGTTTGAGGAACAACAATTTCAAGGCGATTCAATACACAAAGCAAAATTGAAACATATGCCACCTTGCATAAGCAAAATACTTTCTTGAATATATATGCGCCAAACAAGTATGAATTCTCGGTACAAGTCTAACCCAAAAAATTGAGGATGCCATACATCACTTTCTTTACCTTTGCTAGTTAGCAATGCTTGAAAATATGTGTCCTATTTACTCCTAACGTATTTCAATGGCCAAAAAAAAAAAAAAAAACAACAACAACAACAACATAGGATGTTCTACTTGCAATTTTAATGTCTCCCATTATACATGCATTGATACATATATGAATTTATGATTAATTTGGCATAAAGATACATGATTGTTCATAGGTAGGCATTCTATCTGCCATGATTATTGTTAGCTGCTTAATTAGTAATAATTATAATAAAAAATTGTCAAATGCTAATGGCTATATTTATGGGATTAATGAGCTTGCTGTTTGCTCTTAATGCATATGGTAAATATTTGGTTCATTTCCAATAGCTATGAAGGAAAAAGTTTATGAATAAATTTGTGAATTTAATTGATTATATTATTGAGTATTTTTTTATGAAATAGGTGAAAATTTTGAGAACCAAATTGGAAAAGGATAAAGAAGAGAGCTACCCAATTTGGTCCATATAATAGTTTTGAAAAAATGGACATAAAATTTGGGTTAGTATATTTCGAAAATGTAAGTTAAATTTTTTTAAGCTTGCATGATCGAGGAGCCATTTGTGGTGATAAATATGAGATGAGCTAATGTGCTCTTATGAAAATCTTGTGAGAAAAATGAGTTTCTTTATGAA